CTGCTCCCTGGCCTCCGCCTGCACCCTGGCCTCCGCCTGCGCCCTGGCCTCCGCCTGCGCCCTGGCTTCCGCCTGCTCCCTGGCTTCTGCCTGCGCCCTGGCCCCTGCCGAGCATGAGGTATGAAGGTGTAGACACTTCTTTAGCTGGATGAGGCTTTTTTTCCCCACTCAACTAAAGTATAGTCTATTCTTGTTCTTCAGGGTAGTTTATTTTTTACTTTTTAATTTTTTTTTTGAGACCGAGTCTCACTCTGTCACCCTGGCTGGAGCACAATGGTGTGATCTCAGCTGTGTGCAACCTCTGCCTCCCGGGTTCAAGCGATTCTCCTGCCTCCCACACCATCATGCCCAACTAATTTTTTGTATTTTTAGTAGAGACGGGGTTTCACCACGTTGGCCAGGCTGGTCTTGAACTCTGGACCTCAAGTGATCTGCCCACCTCGGCCTCTCAAAGTGCTGGGATTACAGGTGTGAGCCACCGCCCCAGCCCCAAGTAGTTCTATAAAGTCACCACAAATACTGACTAACTGAACATTGAACCATGGCTCCTAGGGGAAGCGCACAGCTGGGTTCCTGCGAACCTCTGGTCCTAGCATTTTCACCAGCCAATTAGTACAGAACCTTGTATGTGTGTTTCTTCCTTTTTTTTTTCTCTTTTGAGATGGATCTTGCTCTGTTGCCCAGGCTGGAGAGCAGTGGCGCGATCTCAGATCACTGCAGCCTGTGCCTCCCGGGTTCAAGCGATTCTCATGTCTCAGCCTCCCAAGTAGCTAGGATTACAAGCGTGAGCCACCACATCTGGCTAATTTTTTTATTTTTAGATGGGGTTTTACCATGTTGGCCAGGCTGGTCTTGAGCTCCTGACCTCAGGTGATCCGCCCGCCTCGAACTCCCAAGGTACTGGGATTACAGGTGTGAGCCACCATGCCTGGCCTTATCTGTTTATTACTACCGCTCCCCACTAGAATTCATGGCTTGTGAGGAGGTGTGGCCGTGTCCCCAGCCCCTAGACCACCACCTGGCAGGGCGACAGTCTCTGTGGAATCGTCTGAGTGAATGAATGGGCTCCCCAGGCATGGTCTCTCTCTCCTGCTGTCCCACTCAGCCAGGTTGTGACACTTACTCTTCTTGAAGAGCTTTTTCCGGCGTCCGGCCAGGCTGAGCTTGTAGTCCCCGCTGTCACAGGTGCAGGCCTCGCTGCCCTGCCCGTAGTACTTGGGCACGAGGTTGGAGAGGGCTCTGCTGCTACCCAGCTGCAGGGGGCCCTTGCACTTATGCAGCTTCAGCTTCCCCGTAGCGTCCTCCACACACTGCCACTTCTGCAAGACATGCCAGGGCCTCGGCCAGCTGCTCGTCTGCTCCCCTAAACCCACCTCTCCCCTGCCACCCCCATCCACCCTGGAGACATCCCTCTCCCTGCTTGCATCCAGCTGTTACCGAGCCCCACGTCTGCTGTCTCCAAGTGCCGCTTCTTTCCACTGCCGCTGCTTGAACCTTGGGCAGAGCTACCATCATCCCCCCACGAGATGCCTCCAACGGCCCCCCACGAGATGCCTCCAACGGCTCCCCACTCTCACGGTTGCCCGCTTCTGTCTGCTCCTAAAATCCACCCACGTGGCAGCTAGAGGAATCTTTTTAAAGGGCAAGTTGGATCATGTCACTCTCCTACTTAAAACCCTTCAATGGCTCCCACTGTCTTTAAGACAAGACCCAAGCTCCTCATACTAGTCTCTGAACACCCTCTGCAATCTGGCCCTGGCCTGCCCGTGAGTCCTCCGCTCCCTCAGCCCCAGCCCTCTCTCCAGTATCCCCCGTGGGCTGCTGCCCCAGGGACTCGGCGCTCGCTGCTCCTTCTGCCTAGAAAGCCTTTTTCCCCAGCCCTTCCTGCTGCTGGAGCCTTCTCTTCCTTCCCGTCTCTGCTCCAGCGCTAAGAGTCTTCCCGACCACCTTCCCAGACTCAGTTAGTGCTGTGTGCAGAGGTTCCCCGTGTGCATTCAACTCCAGGCCTGTGCTCAGAAGCTGAATGTAGACAGAATCACCGTCCAAATCTCTCGTGTTGATCCCTCTTCCCTTCCCCAGGTCCAGCCTCCTGGATCCCCTCGTGGGATTCTGCAACCACCTGTAAACTGGATTCTCTTCCCTTCTGTCCACACCTGCTCCAGCCCCTTGACCCAGTGACTCTTTCGGGCCTATTCTGTGCCAAAGTGACCTTTCCAGGCCACGGATCAGATCTGTTCCCTTGTGTCTCTCCAGCACAGCACATAGCATGTGCCAAGCACCGTGTGTTAATATTAACTTGCTTACTACACCTCCCACTACCGTACGACGCAGGTGCTGTCATTACTGTGCTGCTTCAATATGAGACACACAGAGGTAGAGAGATGCGTCCTGGGTCACACAACTGGGAGGTGCAAGAGCTGTAAGGAAAAGTGTGGAATCTGGTGCTACATCTACCATCTGTGTAGCAGACTACACAGCCCATCCCCTGCCACCGCTGAAGGCCCTGCTGCCTTTCACCTGCTCATCTTGTCCCTGTCCCCCACCATCTGTTCTCACCTAGAGGCTGACTCTGATTGCATTCGCAGCGCCCTGCCACCCTCCCACCCCCTTCAACGCATGCAGGCCCTTCCAGCAACCTGGATTCCTTAGTGCAGAAGGAGACTGATGGGCCAGCAGGCATGACCCTGAATGAGGCCGGCCCAGAAGGGACTGGGGGATCTGGGGAGGCTAAAGTGGGCACTGTGACTGGCTGTACCCATCTGACTGTCGCCAGAGGGCAGCACAGGCCCAGAGGCCCAGGTCTGATTTTTCAAGAAAAGCCAGGGCTCTGACTTATGCGTGAAGCCCTGAGTTGTGCACGCTGGCGAGCAGCCTCCGTCCACTTAGCTCTCCCTGCCTGGAATTCTCCTTCCCCACTGCCTGCTCTCCCTTCCAACCCGACAAACTCAGCCGGGGCACGACTTGAGGGGTCGGCAAACTGCAGCCCTCTTTCTAGTCAACTCCAGCCCACGGCCTGTTTTTGTATGGCCTGCCAACCAAGAACAGTTTTTACGTTGTACATTTTTAGAGTTGTGAAAAGCAAGAACAAAAACAAACGTGTGGCCTGCAAACTGCAAACTATTTACTGTCTGACCTTGTGCGGAAAGTGTTTGCTGCTCCTGCACTACTCATGGAGAAGCCGTGTCCGCATGCCCTGTCCCGAGGCTCTCCTGGCGGGGGTGGTGCGTGAGCCCCACAGGGCTGGGCCAGTGTCGGCTTGACTCTGGGTCCCTACAGCTGCTGAGAACAAAGGTCTTGCAACCTGACTACCTGGGTTCAAATCCTGGTCCACCACTTGAAGCTGTGAGGCTGTGGGTAGGCTGTCTAAGCCCTGGGCCTCAGTTTCCCCTGTGTAGAGAACATACCTGCCAGATAGGGTGGCTGGAGGCAGAGCTCACACTCAGTGTTGCCTGTGATGGTCGTCATTACGAGGTGTCCAGGGCACATTTACTCCTGCCCGGGCCAGGCCCTGATCTGGGCTTTAGGAATGATGACATGAATTCCAGCCGGGCCCTGCCCTTAGTGTCCCCGTGTCACCGGGAGACAGGCAGATGCACAAGAGCTTGGTTCCCGGGAATGTTTGTTCAGCGAAGGACAAATGAACATCTAGCACGTGGGGTAGCACAGAAAAGGTACCCAAGGCAATGGTATGGCTGGGCGTGAGGCCCCCTAAGAGGCGTCCTCGGGCCACAGGGTACAGCTTCTACACTGGGCAGGGCATTCCAGAAGCACGGCACAAGCAGAGACGTGGCAACGGCACCCGGGGAGTGCGGGCTTGTGAGCAGGGCCGTTGCCTGGGATGGCGGGCAGAGGTCTGGGCCTGGGATCCTCACAGCCCCGGGGCTGGGTTCGGGCACATGGGCTGCTGCCTCCCAGCTGGCCTAGGCTATGTGCCCCAAACCACGCCCTCACACTCTCTTCCTTTGGTTTCAGTGGTGCGCTCTGATGTTTGGAAAATGCTGCTACCTCCTCTTTCTTGGCCCCAGCAAAGAGGTCATTTTGGCTGCCCAAGCGCTGATCTGGGTCAGAGGAGACATGCAGAAAGAACCAGTGGGGGACTTGACAGTGTTCCCTGGCCGGGGGGCGGTGGGGGCAAAGGCTTCCTGGCCTCCTCATTTCATTTCTTTTAGCCCAGAACTAACATCAGAACCCCTTCTGGGATCTCGGTACAAAGTCAAGGCTGAACTCTCTCCAGAACGTCAGCTCTGGGAGGGCAGGAGTTTCTGTTGAGCATATTCAAGGCTGTAGCCCTGCGCCAGGACAGCGCCTGGCAAGCAGAGGTACGCATTCATGCTGTACAACGGAGGGATGAAATCCACAGCTCCTGCCTGGTGGCAGATACGGGTTAATTCCGTGACTAAGTGGGGTCTGTGGTTTACACACACTGGGTGAGGAGGCACAGTCAGGCCTGTATGAGCCTGTACTAATTCTATGTACATTGATAAGATGGAGTCATTCAAACGCAGTCCATCAGAAACCCATCCACCTCCGGCCTTGGCCTTCAATACCAGGGCCCTGGTCTTGCTTTTTCTCACTGGTGAACAGGCACGCAACTCCAGCCCCAGCTCAAAGTCCCAGTCTTTGAAGGGCAAGACAGGGACACACCTCCGGCACCCCTTGGGCCAGCCAAGGCAGAGCTTCACCATGTCCACTGCCCTCTCCACCCTGCCTGGCTGGGGTTGCCCCTTCCCTGACCCTCCTTCTCCAAGCCTGCCCTGGCCTTCCAGCCTCAGAAAAGCCTCATTTAGGCTTTCCCAGCATGTCAGTTTCTGCTACCTCTGAATACTTCCCAGATTATTTTCTTTTTTTCTTACGTTTTTAGAGACGGGGTCTTATTCTGTCACCCAAGCTGGAGTGCAGTGGCGCAATCACAGCTCACTGCAGCCTCCAACATGTGGGCTCAAGCCATCCTCCCGCCTCAGCTCTGGAGTAGCTGGGACCACAGGCATGAGCCACTGACTGTTCCTGGCCATAATTTCCTTAATATTTCTCTTGCAACCAATTCACTTTTTAAAAACTTACATATATTTATTTTAAAAAGCCACGTCTTATTACTCCTGTAAAAGGAAAACCAGTCACAAAGACAATACTGTCAAAGCGAACACGGTGAAAATAAACTAATTTAACTCCTGCGGGGGCCTAGGTGCGAGAGGGGTTGGCAAGGGCTAGAGAGGTGCTAAGGGCACACAGCACACCCACGGGACACTTGGCCTCTGACACGGTCAGGGTCCAAAGGCTGCTGAGAAATCAATCACTTATCATGAGCATCATCCTGCATCACCAAACTGCATCTTGGGCATCACACGACAGCAAAGGGCTACCCATTGGGAGGCCCTGGCCCTGCTGGCTCAGCGGCTCTCAGGGCCCCACAGGTCAGGGCTGGCTGCAGTCAGGATGGGGAGCGGTCGGGAGGGAAGGGAGCCTTCTTACCTGTCCCAGCTGCTCACACGCCGTCTGGTACTCAGCACGCTGACACAGGTCCTTCACACGCTGGTACTTGGGCAGAAAGTTCTCCTCCTGGGCGTCCACCTTGTCATTGTCTCTCTTGTGTAGCAGTTTGCTGTGGGGCAGAGAGGAGGAGCCGCAGGGCCGGCCTCTCAGCTCTGGAGGAGCCCCGGAGGCACGTGTGCCCACCTAGAGGAGTGCCCCCTCGGCTTTGGCTTATCCTCACAGTGGAGGACGCAGGACACCCTGCCCGGGTCTCCTGATGTTTAGGAAACTTAAGACTGGCATTTTATAAGAAACTTCCCAAATCGCATGAGTTGGCAATAACTTAGATAAATTGAAGACATTGTAGAGGCTGGACAAAACATGCCAAAAGGGTATGTGCGACCTCAGACCCCAATTCTGTGTCGTCTATAGGAGCAGTGAATGGGCTTTGTGTTTAGGGGCCTTTGGACACAACTTCAGAGCCACTGTTGGAAGGCACCATCATAGCCCGATTCTCCCTGCTGCCCTGGGCGGAGGGAGGGAGGTGGGCAGGGGTGTCCCTGCCAGGACCTGGCACTCACCCTCTCTCCACCAGGAAAGAGTCCCGCCAGACCCTCATCTTCTTTTTCAAGTGAAACCTGGAAAAAAGCACGGATCCTGCTTCTCAACAACGTGAGGGCTTCCCACGACCCCCTATTTCCCCAGGAGCAGGGATGGCACCAGGAGTCAGCCTTGGTTTACAGTCAGCCTGGACAGCAATTGTGGCGAGCGCGCCCAGCCGGGCACTGGAGAGCCTTGCTCACCCTCCTGAGTTGAGCCACCCCTTCCCCAGAGACTCGGGTCTGGAGGCACACAGGGCAGAAATGACCCAGCTCAAAGTCACTGCAAGTCCCACCCAAGTAACTGTGTGTGTGCGCGCGCATATCTTACGCCCCCGCAGGAAGCCCAACAACTCCCGGAGCTGGAAGAGCTCTGTCTCGAGCTCAGCGTCAGGCGCAGTGGTTCAGGGTCTCGAGCTCAGCGTCAGGCGCAGTGGTTCAGGGTCTCGAGCTCAGCGTCAGGCGCAGTGCTCGAGCTCAGCGTCAGGCGCAGTGGTTTGGCGTCTTGAGCTCTGTCTCTAGCTCAGCGTCAGGCGCAGTGGTTCAGGGTCTCGAGCTCAGCGTCAGGCGCAGTGGTTCAGGGTCTCGAGCTCAGCGTCAGGCGCAGTGGTTCAGCGTCTCGAGCTCAGCGTCAGGCGCAGTGGTTTGGCGTCTTGAGCTCTGTCTCTAGCTCAGCGTCAGGCGCAGGGGTTCAGGGTCTCAAGCTCAGTGTCAGGCGCAGTGGTTCAGCGTCTTGAGCTCAGCGTCAGGCGCAGTGGTTGTCTTGATGTCGGGTTCATTGCATTGGGTTGTGGGGGTATTTTCTTCTTTGGTGCTTTGCAGTTGCATGTATGTAATTTGTGGGTTTCATCCGGTGCCACCTGGTCATTTCCATTTCCTAGATGGGGACTCTGAAGCTGAGAGGAGAAGCCTCCACCCTGTCCCCTGTCCCCCAGGTGTCCTGACTCCCAGGCCAGTGTCCCCAAACACGTCCATTTTATACCATTACAGCTCGCCTGGCCTCACAGTCAGGGGAGGAGCCTCAATGGACACGGTCCCCCTAGAGGGCAGCCAGATGTGGGCACACAGTGCTCGCCTGGCTGGAGCCTCTGGGAGACCACAGAGGAAGGGCTCCGCTGCTGGAGGTACAAGCCAGGAGTTGAAGTCGCACCTGGAGGCCAGGAACCTGGTGGCTATTAGAGTGCTGGCCACCAGATGTCGCTGTGGCCACACCAGCTTCCCCGCCCTGACTCAGCCCACCTCCCACCTGTCTGACTTGCTCACCCTCACGGTTCCTACTCTGACACCTGGAATATGTTCCCATCACACCCTCCAGCATTAAAGTTATGGGGTGTGGTAAGTCAGCATCTGAATTCCCAGAGCCACATCCAGACTTGCTGGGATACCTCTGACAAGTCACTCAATCGCTTTGGGATTCAGATTCCAAACTGGCAAAATGGGGATGATGATAACGTCACCTCGCTGGGTTACTGTGAGAATCAAACTCCTAGAATCCCCTGCACAGTACTTAGAACAGGGCCTCACACACAATCGCCGTGCAGTTAGCACCAACTCCTACGATCACTGCTGCTACCATTTCAAGCTTTGTGTAATTTTAGTTCAGAGAAGGTCCCCAACTGGTCACCTTGGCCACATTCCAGATGGGAAGACAGAATCTCAGAGAGGGGAATGCTTCTCTCCCACAGCAGCTAAGCGGTTGGGGGGACCTGAGAACCCCAGCTCCCAACCCTTGGAGACCCCATGTTCTAGACCCACAGGGTTTTGCTCTGAGTTCCTGCAGGTCAGGAGCCCAATGTCCCAGCCCCCCGCACCTGCCCTGCTCCTTCCTCACCGATTCACCGGCCGCTCCGTGTCCAGCAGCTTGAGGATGGATTTCCCGTCCATATCCGCGGGTATGTCCAGGCCTGCGATGTCCAGGATGGTGGGGGCCAGGTCAATGTTGAGGACGATGTGGGGATTCCTGCGGGAGGCAGGAGATCGGGGACTCAGCCACTCGGGTGGTGGTGCCTCAGCCTCGCTCGAGGGGTGGGCGGTGGTAGGTGGGCAGCAGTTTGTGGGGGGCTGACATCTGCAGGTATGGAAGCTGCAGTCTGGCACCTCAACCTCAGCAGCTCCCCTCTGCGGCCCAGATTCAGCCAAATCCCCACTCTGCGCTCGCCCCCCACTTAGCTTCTGCGTCTCAGACGTGCCATGCGGTGAGCTGACAGCCCCACCCTGTCCCTGCTTCCTGAGTGAAGGCGACCTGCCTTTACAGCCAGCCCAAATCCTGGCCCTTCCCGAGCGCTTCCCCTGGATCTCTGGGGCAAACACTGGCTCCTTGCTGTTCCTTGACAGCCCAGGCACAGTCCAGCCTCAGGGCCGCCTTCTTTACTGTCCCCTCTGCCTGGAATGTCCTTTCCCTGGAGATCAGGGGCCGCCGTCCCTCACCCCTTTAGTTCTTTGCTCTATTACCAAGGAGGCCCGTGACAGGCCTCAGTGATCCCCGGGATCCCTGTCCCTGGGGGACCAACCCGGACCTGCTGCCAACCAGCGGCACGTGAAGGTGATGGGCCGTCACTCCCGTGGTTGTGTTATGAGATAGTCAACTCTATCCTGCTAGTGGTCTTGCTCTGGTCTCTCTTTCTCCCCTTGCTGACTTTGAAGAAGCAAGCCCCTCTAAATCAGCAGCTGGACGGTGAGCAGTTTGGGAGGCAGACTGCATGGGTTCAAGTCCTCTGCTTGCATTTGACCTGCCCCGTGAGCAGGGACGCGGGTGCTCCCCAGTCACGCCTCTGGATGAGACCGCAGCCCTGGCCGGCACCTTGATTTCAGCCTAAGCAGACGACCCTGCAGGGCTGGGTCCCGGCTTCTGACCCTCAGACACCGTGAGTTTGTACATGTGTTGTCTTAAGCTGCTGAGTTTGTGGCAGTTCGTTCTGCAGCACAGATACCCAACACAAGGCCCTCCTGAGGACCCTATTTGGAATTGCACCCCTCCCTGCCCTCCCTGCTTTATCTTTCTCCTGAAGACCCATCACCGTCTCATATGCTATATATCTTACTTATTTCTCTGGCTTATTGTCTATTGCCCAGGTAGACTCTAAGCTGCAGGAAGGCTGGCTCAGGTGGTCACTTCTGTATCTCCAGGACTTACACCCTTAGAACACACAGTAGCTACTCAGTAAATACTGGCTAAGTGAGTTCCATACATCTGCCACCTTTCCCGGCTCCTGTTTCTTTTTTTTTTTTTTTTGAGAGGTGTCTTGCTCTGTCACCCAGGCTGCAGTGTGGTGGCACGATCTCGGCTCACTGCAACCTGTACCTCCCGGGTTCAAGCGATTCTCATACCTCAGCCTCCCGAATAGCTGGGATTACAGGCATGTGCCACCACACCCATAATTTTTGTACTTTTAGTAGAGGCGGGGTTTCACCACGTTGGCCAGGCTACTCTCGAGCTCCTGACCTCAGGTGATACGTCCACCTCGGCCTCCCAAAATGCTGGATTATAGGCATGAGCCACCTCTCCTGGCTCCTGTTTCTGGCTGACATTCCCAATGTAGGGTAAGGGACTTGAGGGGTGTGCACAGCACAGGCCCCAGGACCTGTTGAATGGTGGACAGACCCGTCAGAGCGCCTGAGTGCCTTCCCTGCTAGTCCCCTGGGGACCGGGGCAGGGCCTGGGTCCTGGGGTTTCTGTCATCTTTAACCCCCCATTTCTCCCTATTCCAGTGCCCTGTGAACATCGGGCAGGCTGCCAAGCATGTGTGTAGCTGGGGAGGATGGCCTAAGCTGTGTCACGGGGGGCTCGAAGTGTGAGGTGCTACAACTGAATCCAGAGGCGAGGGAGCTGGGAAGACTGCTGAGCGACGGGCACTCTGCCCAACCCAGCAACCAGCAGCCGACGGGGCTGAGCTTGTCCAGTGGTCCTGCTCCCCCAGGCTCAGGGGAAGGAGGACAGCAGTCACTTTTCCTGGCCAGCACCCATGCCTTGCTCTGTCGCAGCTTCTCATTCTGTAGGAACTACCTGGCCCCATTCAGAGCCCACTGCCCAATGCACTCAGCCTGGTCACTCAACAGTTTCTGTCACCTCTGGCTACAGTGATTGGTTCAGGGAAGGACACGTGACCTCAGTCAGGCCAGTGGGAGTCAGCCTCAGGTCTTCTGTTCAAAGCAGTTTGGTTTCCTAAACAGGATGGCTGAAAATCTGGAGCTGCTGACTCTGCCATAAGGAGAAAAACCTGCCTGAGAATGAAGCCAATTCAGCGGAAGTGGGATTGAGAGTTAAGAAATGAGAGCTTCCCAGTGGCATTGTAAGACTGCTGGATCCAGCCATGCCTGAGGCTGGAGCTGTGCATGGATTTTTCAGCAACTATAGTTACTGCGTTCTTTTTTATCTTATATGCTTTATCTGGTTCAAAGGTCGTTTCTGCTTGCAACCAAAGGAGTCCTGGCTGACAGATACTGTGTGTCTTTGGTCCCAAACCTGACATGAGCACTCTCTTTTTCTTGACCATGTGGGATGTGGTTTTGGGTCCTGTGAGTCAGATCACAGATGCCAAGGCTGACCAAACCCCCAGTGTCAGTGTTTGTAGAGCCCTCAGTGGGTCAGATGCTTTCTGTTCTCAGGGATGGTTCGAGGTTTCTGAGAGGTGTGGCACATGGGAATAGACACTGCCTGGCTTCAAGCCCCAGCCCCTTCCCTTACTTGCTCTGTCACCTCAGGCAACTTAACCTCTCTGTGCCTCAGTGGCCTTGGGTGTAAAACGGGGCCACTATGTGCATCCACGTCACAGGGCTGTTGTGATGCTGCAATGAATTATTATTAATTTTTTTTGAGATGGAGTCTCACTGTCGCCCAGCCTGGAGTGCAGTGGCATGATCTTGGCTCACTGCAACCTCCGCCTCCCGGGTTCAAGCAATTCTCCTGCCTCAGCCTCCTGGGTGCTGGGATTACAGGTGTACGCCACCATGTCCAGCTAATTTTTGTATTTTTAGTAGAGGTAGGGTTTCACCAAGTTGGCCAGGCTGGTCTCGAACTCTTGACCTCAAATGATCCGCCCACCTGGGCCTCCCAAAGTGCTGGGATTACAGGCGTGAGCCACAGGGCCCGGCCTGCAGTGAATCATTATGTAGTTCTTAGACCAGGCCCTGAAGAGCAGACACTCCATACGCGTGGGCTTTCGTTATTACAGCTCTTATTCCGGGGAGAGGGTGGTGCTGAGAGCCAAAGACGGGCATGCTCTGATAAGGTCAACAGACAGTCATCACTTTCTCTGGCCTTGAACTCATGCAGCCTGCCTCCTGGAATTCTCGCAAAATGTCCAAGGCAGTGGGAACATGTCAGTCTGGAATGCCACACTGCACTGTCAGTGCCTCTTCTGAAGGAATTCTGCAGCCAGCCCTATGTGAGTGCTGGGTGTGTGTTCCCACATCTGGGCATGGGCAGAAGTCAGACCAAATGAGAATCTTAATAGCAACACATCTGCTTTTCAAAAACCCCATTTGAGCCACTCTCCATAATATCCCAGCCGATCCAAGGAGGCTGCTGCCATGAACAGCGGCCTGTCCGCTCCCCTGCCCCAGACACAGCATGTTTGCTGCCAGAACGTGTCATCTCAAAGGTTAACCCGAGGAGAATTGCTGGCTGAGGGCTGCGGCCCACGTGGTCCTCCAGGAAGGATGGGAGGGGAAAAGCATTTCCCTTTGTGCTGCTGCCCGGAGCTGGCTCAGCTGATCCCAGCTGACAACCAGCTGCCTGTGCTGAGGTCCGGGATTCCTCCCTGACAACCTCCAGGCCCAATGGCTGCCCAGCCCAGAACAGAAATCCAAGCGCCATTCCCACCTGCTGGTGACACGCGTGTGCGCGCACACATGTATACAGCCCAGCTCCCTGGATTTCCTGGCATACAGCCACACCACAAACAATCTGTTTCCACAGGTGCTCACGGCCCTGGCCTCTCCTTCCCCAGCAGAGGGGTATAAAATGCATGACATAATTGCTTTCCGTTGGCCCTGGGGTTCATCTGTCAGAACTGTGTGCCACCCAGGGTGTGGCTTGGGTTTGGGCTGCACGGTTGCAGCCCTGAGCTGGGCCCAGGGGCCCCCTGGATCCCTGGGGGATGACATACTTACAGAGAGCCAGCTTCCACGTTGGGGCCCCTCACATAGAACGGGACCCTGATGTCAAACTCGTACGGCATGGATTTCCCTTTGACCAGGCCAAACTGGCCGATGTGGTAGCCGTGGTCGGCGGTGTACACGATGTACGTGTTGTCCAGCTCGCCCGTCTCAACCAGCATGTTGTAAATCTGCAACACAGGCGAGGAGGCAAGGGGCAGTGGGGACCGGGTGTCTGGCCCGTCTCCGACCTGGCGTCGCAAGGGCTTGAGATCTCAGTTCCCATCTTTCCCCTGCTTCAGGTCTTCGCTTAACGTTCCCAGGGGCTGTCCCCTTTGTCACTGCACCTTCCTGCCTCCCGTCACTCCCTGGCCCGCCCTCTCCTCCACGGTTCTTCGTAGCCCTTCTCGGCCTCCATCTCTTTTGCTTATCTGTGGATCGTCTGTGTCCCTGCCTTGGCATGCCATGCTGCCTCCATTAGGGCAGAAACTTTTGTCATTTTGTTCCCTGCTTGCTGTATTTCACGTACACTGGCACTCAATAAATGCTATCGGGTGAACGAATGAAATGAGTGAAACTTGGGCTGCAGCCTGTGGCAGGAGCTTGCCATCTGGAAGGGCGCCGTGTGGCAGAACTTTCTGCATTGGTGGTCGTGTAAATGTCTGCACTGTCCGATACGGTGGCCTCCAGATGCACGAACCTACTGAGCACGTGAAATGAGGCTTGTGTGACAGAAGAACTGACTTTATAATGTTACTGTATTCAGTTTAAATAGCCATGGCTAAATAAAATGTGACAATACCCATACAACGGGGTACTATTCAGCAATAACAGGGAATGAGGGGGACGGATTCATGGGATACCAGGGGTGAAGCTGGAACACATGGCGCTAAGTGAAAGAAAGGCACCGGGCACAGAGGCCTCAGCGTGTACGCTTCCATTTATAGGAAATGTGCAGAACACCAAATCTATAGAGACAGAAAAGAGATCATCAGTTGTCTGGGGCTGGGGGTGAGGGAGATTTAGTGGGTGGTGACTAAGGGCTGTGAGGTTTCTTTCTGGGGTAAGAAAAATGTCCTCACATGGATGTGGCGATGGTTATACAACTCTGGGTGTATTAAAACCACAGAATTGCACACTTCAATGGGAGGAATTGTATGGTATGTGAATTACATCCCAATAAAGGTATTCAAAAATGTAAATAGCAGGAAAAAATATAACTAGCATACATGGTTACCGTACTGGGCAGCACGGATCTAGAATATGTTTCATGAAGGAAGAAGCTTTTGTCTGGATCGCTCCAAGCTGCTCCCCAGGTCTAGCATGGGGTCTCTTCATTCTGCCTTTGATTTCCATTCCTCCAGGAAAACCCTGAAGGGCCAGGAGGTTCTGGCCCTGGCCTGGTTGGGGGTTCAGAGCCACGCCCACCAAGAGGCATGCAGTGGGCGCCTACCGTCTCCATGGAGTCGTCCACCGACATGAGGGTCTGCAAGCGCTTCCGCTGGAGTATGTTGGTGAATTCCATGTGGATGGGCTTCATGGGCCCTGTGTAGCGCATGATCCAGTGTTTGTCCGGGTTGGGCGCGTAGTTGTAGCTTGGCGTGCTGGTGGGCAAGGACATATGCATCAGTCAAAGCCAGGGACAGCCTGGACCCAGCCTGGCCCCTATCAGATCTGCCCAGGTCAGCAGCCACCCTGTGCTGTGTCTGCAGCCCAGGGCCAGCTGTGCTTCCCTGGTGGGAAAGGGGACATTGGCATGTCAGGTGCTTATCCAAACCCTGTTTCAGTGTTTCTGCACATGTGAAGTGTGCATGTGGGAAGCTCCTAAGAGGCACAGCATTCAGTGATCTTGAGCGACAAAGTGAGACAGCCAGTCCCTTGTCGGTTCTCTCAGGGCAAAGTCTCAGTTTGGTGCTAGTGTTTCTTTAACACCTCTCTAGACTTTGCTCATCTCCCTTTTGAAAAAAAGGGAAGACAGTCGAGTTCAGAGCCTTCATCAGGAACCAGCACCCAACTCGAGTGTGCCTTGGACCTATTTTTGGTAGATGGCAGTTACCTTTGGGGAATGGCAGGTGGCAGTTATTGTGGTTAAGGTAGGACCACAGAATATCCGTTTGCAATAGATTTTAGTTTGAAGTAATAGAAATTGATTTAAAAATTAAATAAGTTATAGTTATATGTGTAAGGCCAGAATTGTGAGGAAGGCACCTGAATGTGTACATTTGGGACACGCCACATTCTCTTCTTTTACTTTTTGAGACAGAGTCACCCTGTCGCTCAGGCTGGAGTGCAGTGGCGCGATCTCAGCTCACTGCAACCTCTACCTCCTGGTTCAAGCGATTCTCCCGCCTCAGCCTCCCAAGTAGCTGGGACTACAGGCGCCTGCCACCACACCTGACTAATGTTTTTGTATTTTTAGTAGAAATGGGGTTTCACTGTGTTAGCCAGGATGGTCTCATCTCCTGACCTCGTGATCTGACTGTCTTGGCCTCCCAAAGTGCTGGGATTATAGGCGTGAGCCACCGCGCCCGGCCTCTTTCTTTTTTGAAATGGAGTCTCGCTGTCGTCCAGGCTGGAGTGCAGTGGTGGGATCTCAGCTCACTGCAGCCTTCGCCTTCTGGGTTCAAGTGATTCTCCTGCCTCAGCCTCTTTAGTAGCTGGCACTACAGGCATGTGCCACCACACCTGGCTAATTCTTGTAGTTTTAGCAGAGATGGGTTTTGCCATGTTGGCCAGGCTGGTCTTTAACTCCTGACCTCAGGTGATCCACCCTCCTCGGCCTCCCAAAGTTTTGGCATTACAAGCATGAACCACTGCGCCTGGCATGCTGCTTAATCTTGCAGCAGGAGTGTGTGGGGCAAAGTTCTGTCAGAGCACCTGTGACATGAGGGATGGAGGGACCCCAGGCAGGTATCTATGATGATATCACAGCAGTGGTGGCCCATACCAGCTGCTGGGGTTTGAACCCCAGTTCTGTCTTTGGCCAGTTAGTTCCCTCCCAAGGCATCAGTTCCCTCACTTCCTACCCAAGGAGAATATAGACAGTGCCAGTTCCCAGGATGGCTGTGAGCCCTGAGGGAGAGGCTGTAAGGGGAGCCCTTCTAACCATGGCCAGTGCGTGATGACTGCTCGCGAGAGGTTATCACTGGTGTATCCCTTTGTCATTAGTAATCACAGGTGACTCCACGGCAGAAGTCAGGTACACTGGGTCTGTCACTCACTCCGTGAGACAGCGGGCAGGTCCCCAAACTTCTCTGACCCTCTCTGCTTCCTGGTTAGTCAATGGAAGATTAAACCAAAACCAGAGGAATCACTGTGAGCAAACCAAAAGCACCTCCTTGTCACCTCGGTTTATGCCGGGCCCCCGGATCTGAGCTACTGAAAACCGCAGCATGTGGGGGTCTCCTGGGTGGGGTGCACCACTGACAGGAAGCACTGTTTAAGGCCTCACAAAAAGTAGGCTTCCTCGCCCTGGGTCTGACGGTTCTTGAAGGCCAGGTTCCCTGCAAATCTGGCTCCCCTTCTCAGTCAAGGCTGAAGTAAAGGTTGAGTTTCTACTGCTTTTCACAGGGGGTGTTCCGGGGGCAAGGAGCTCCCGCGAAGAAGAAGAGGAAAAACGAGCCTGGTCAGAGGGACACAGACATGTCTCCCTCCGACCTGGCTCGTCGGGACTTCAGCAGCGTCTCAAATATCGTGATCGTCCCGGGCAGACATTGTGACGCTGCCGCTGGGGTAGCTTGGCAGCTGTGGACACCGTTGCTATGTAAGGCGGGAGGTGAGTCACTGTCTCCAAGGCTCCCCTGGACTCGGTTTTCTGAGCCCCTGGCTGATCTGCAGCCTCCCGCCACTAAATCCATCAGGGCCCACGTTCCTTTCATTACAGAACGGCCAGGCTCCTCTGCGGGCTGGCTCTGCCATCTCAGGGCCTGACTGCCATGTAGAACGTTCCCAGGAACGAGCTCAGCTCCCCTCTCAGATCTGTCCCACCAAGGAACTGAAAGGAGGCTGCTGGGGGCAGCAGATGGACAGAGATGTTCTCTGTCCCACACAGCCCAGCGTGTGGGAAAATTGGTCCCGCAGGCCCAAGGGCCTGGATTCCAGGATGCAATTTTCAGCAATCATCCCTGAATCCAAGAGAAGTCAGGCTGATGTCAGCCCTTGAGAACAGTGAGGGGTGAGTTTGTTCAGCAGATGACGATTTCTGCAGCCCCAGCTCTGAGACAGAGCTTTTGGAGAAGGACACTGAGGCCAGAAGGCAGCAAAGCCGGGTGGAGCTTGGGGTCAACGCCAGCTTGCCGGTCGCCTGTGTCAAGCCAGGCTCCACAAGGGAGGATGTTGGCATCTTCCCATGGGCTCAGCTGCCCGTTCAACAAAGATCTGAAAACTTCACCTCCTCCAGCATCTCAGGAATGTCTGGTGCATTCACGAAAGGGCATGAAGGAGAGCATCCCCTTCCCTTCTGCTGGGGAAACGGTGAAAGATGGTGGTGTCCTCACAGCCCCTCCACTGTGTGTCTGCGGCCCTCAGCAGCAGCCCCGACACCCCTCGCCCCAAAGCCCTTGAAGCCACAATCAGCGCCCTTCGCAGGGAAGCTCTGAGGGCTAGTGGGCTGTGTCTGCGGGCCTGCCTATGTGTATCTTTGTATTTCTGCCTATGTCTGTGTTTGCACGTGTGTATGTCTGTGTGTGTGTCTGTAACTGTGTATTTCTGTGTGTGTCTGCATGTGTGTATGTTTCTTTTTTTTTTTTTAGAGACAGGGTCTCACTCTGTCACTCAGGCTGGAGTGCACTGGCGCAATCATAGCTCACTGCAGCCTTGACCTCTCAGGCTCAAGCGATCCCTCCACCTCAGCCTTTCCAGTAGCTGGGACTACAAGCGTGCACCACCACCCCTGGCTGATTTTAAATTTTCTGTAGAGAGAGAGTCTCACTAAGTTGTCCAGGACTGCGTGTGTTTCATTGCATGTGTGTCTGCTTGTGTGGTATGCCTCTGTGTGCTTGTGTGTATTTGCATGTCTTTGTGTGTGTCCGTATGTATGTGACTGTGTGTTGAGGGTGCATGGGGAGGGTGCAGGGCCCTGGGGTCTGTGGGGTGGATGGTACCACCACCTACCAACTTTTGACAGAATCCATAAGGCCTGTGCCAGGACAGGGCATGTGCCAGCTTTCTAGGGGAGAGATGGGATAGGAGACCACTGACAGAAAGATCCAGTGCTCTAACCTTGTGCCCCGGCTCTGTCCCCCACCCACCCCGTCTTGACTGTCATCATTAAACATCCTAGTTGCAGAACTTTCTCTTTTTTTGGTTTCTTCTGGAAATGATTATACCCCAGAGATAACAGAGCCTTCCAAACATGCCCCTGAGAAGGCAAAGGGGGTTTCTCCACATAAGAGCAGACAGTGCTCGTTTTCAGTTTCTGTAATTTTCATTTCAAAGGGAAAATAAACCAACAGGCAATGTCAAACAATTCCACCACAAAATTCCGGCGCCGCTCGCTGCTGCTTGGGGTGAAGCTGGCACCTCTTTTAGAGATGCTGCCAAAGCAAAGCGTCCCTTCCCCCACCCACGGCTTCTCCCTTAGACGGGGCTGAGTGGCCTCCATCCCCTGCAGGGATGAGTCCTAAGTGGGGATGGGGCAGGGTGCCAGCTGCTGGGGGAGGCTGGCCTGCTTGGGTGGAGAGGAGTGGGCTTGGGTTTGGAGGGGGAGCCAGACAGATGTGCACAGAAGCAATGCTGCAGCCCCTGGGACCCAGCTCATCATCATCTGTCAAAGCCTCCTTCCCAGAGACCGGGATGGGAAGGTGAACAGCGCCTTTCATACCCTCTCTGAGCTGCTTCGAGGGTTGTCAAAAAGTAATCACAGGAGGCGCTTGAGGAGGGCAATGTATTCCGATTGTAATGAAGCTAAACAGCCTGAATATTCAGGCAGATTCCAAACCGCCCCATCCTTGAGGCCCCAGAATGTCACAGCAAGGGCTGCTGAGTTACCACTAAGCAGGGGGTGGTCTGAGGCAGAGAGAAGCAGGAGAACTTTCCGGGAAGTTTCCCAGCCAGCTGGATGGAGGCCTGCAGGGGTGGGCAGAGGCATGGGAAGCAGAAGTAGGGGCTGGACTTGAATCCTGGCTCTGCCACTTACAGCTGGGTGACCTCAGGTAAGTTACCTCACCTCTCTGTGCCTCAGTTTGTTCATCTGTAAAATGGGAACACCAAGTGTGACAGGCAGCCTCCAAGATGGCCCTCGATGATCCCCACTTCCTGGCCTTCACACTCCTGCACAGACTCTCCCATGTTGTAGGAGGACTGGTCTGTGTGACCAATAGAATGTGGCAGAGTGATGGTGCCACTTCCAAGATTAGGTTGTAAAAGATACTGCGGCTTCCTTCTTGGCCTCACTCTCTGATCATCTGCCGTGGGCAAGGCCAGTTATCATGCTGTGAGGACACTCTAACATCCTATGGACAGAGGCTCATGTGGCAAGGCCCAGCCATGGGACTGAGCCCCAGTCAAGCCTCAGGTGACTGCAGCCCCAGCTGACACCTTGACTGCAACTTCGGGAGACCCTGGGCCAGGAGCTCAGAAGAGCCACTCCCAGATTCCTGAC